CCCCCCCCCCATGACACCCAGAAACTGAGAAGCCTCTTAGAATAAAAATCAGCCCCGGTTCTAACTCGCTGCTTTGTGCTCTGGTTAATCTGTTCCTTTGGGACGCCTGCAGGGCTTAAGGATTCAGGAAATAGGCCGAGGGCTGTCAGTCTGTTCACTTTAAACAGAAAGACAAGCCTGTGAATAGAAGACGGACGGGCCTAAACCTAAGCACACCGCTGGTCACCTCTTTGCCTCCCTTCTGTGGACTTTCGATTTAATGCAATGAGTCTTTATTAGGCACCCAAAGTGTGTCACCAGTGCTCCCTGCACGTCCTCTGGCAGGCTCAGCCTCGAGCCGCTGTCTTGTCCCTGGGCACACAGCATCTGCCCCCTGGGCACATCCTGCCTGAGATTTCCCAGCTATGCTCACTGTATTAACAAGCTCATCACAGATGGGATGGTGGGGGAAGGCTTCTGTGTTGGCTCAGGCCGTCCCTCCCACCTCCCTGACAGCCCTACAGGGCAGCGTGGGGGGCGCCTGTGAGCCAGGCAAGTGGGAGGGGGAGGGGGCCAGTCACGGAAGGTGCTGGAGGTGCTGGGTCTTCAGCCAGGTTTGAAGAAAGGCAGGTTACTGACCCCAGAGGAGAGCGGGCACAGTGTTATTCATTGTACTACAATATTTTTTTCTATCTATGGATTCATATTAAAATAGGGAGGACCCAAAACGTCACGACATCATAACCATCTCTTGGACTTTGCTCAGCCTTCTGGTGACCTCTCCAGGCCATGCTCCTGTTTCCTCAGCGGGTCCGGGAGCCAGGCTTCCTCAGTGACCTAAAGAGGCCCTGGAGGCCAAGAACCAAGCCTGGGAAATCCGACACCCTGTCTGTGCCCAGTGGCCCTTCAGGCTGAGACCCCAGGCATGACGGGCCAGTTGTCCTCTCTTCCTAGGACGAGGCTGTGACTTCTGGGAACCAGGGGACAGGGCACTTCCTGCTGCCTTGTCAGGTGTTGACAGCTCTGACCCATCCAGCTCCTGGCTGGAGGCCAACTCAGTCCCTTCTCCCTGGCGCCTTTCACACCCAAGAGAGTAACTGACACCACATATCCATGGCGACCCACGGAGGGTGCAGGGCAGAACCAGAGTCACCAGAGTCCTCAGCCCAGGGCCTGCAGTCAGGAACTGTGGACCGCACACAGAGCCCAGCTCTGAGATGGGAGGGGGCATCCTTGGCCCCTTGGCCCCTGCCTGGCACGTACCTGAAGGCCTTGCCCGAGTGTCCGGCGGGGAACGGGCTTCCTTGGGAGTAGATCTGCTGGCTTCCTGCTGCAGAGGCCGAGCTCATCATCTTCTTCTCCGCTGGGGAGAGCAGAGCAAGGGTCACATGATGCAAGGGTTCCCCACCCTGCAGACCACATAGGCGGTGGGTGCACCTAGGCAGGCACCAGCAGGGGGCACTCGGCTGAGCACTCATCCCTGGGGCCTTCCTGCACCTGACAGCTTCAAGCTGTCCACCTCCTGGGCCAGGACACGGGCCATCACCCGGGACAGGACACAGGCACTGGCCTGAGCCAGGACAAAAACTCCCGGGAAGGCAGGCCCTTTTGGGAATTGGGGAGATGAAAAGAATTAATGAAGTTCTTCCTCAGACACTATTCTGCCAAATCCTTCCCACCCCGAGGAGGGGGAGCCCCGTGCAGAGCAGTGATGAGGACCGTGGGCTCTGACGCTCAGCTCCTGGGCTTGAAGCCTGCTTGCCAGGGGTGTAGCTAAGGATGTATAAAAATGAATCTTTCACATCTTTATTACTTTGATTTTACTTCGCTCTGTTTGGGTTCCATCCCATTCGGGCTGTTATCAATCAGGAGTCCTTGAACATCAACTTACTTGATCGCTCTCGATAGCTCACTTCTCCTTCTGAATACTTTGCAATTTGCTAACAATTTCCTTGTCTTTTCTTGGAAGTGACTTGGAAGGCAGACTACTCTCCTTTTCTCTTACACTTTAGTGGTTATGCTTAAACACCCTGGAGGTGATATTTCTCTGCAAACGTCAGAGATACATCAGTGTACACTGATGATGAAAAATTTTGGTTTAGTAGCATGAGTCCAAAATGTGCCTGGGTCTTGTTGAATTGATTGGATTGTGGCTTTTTTATTTATTGATTTGAGAGACACACTTTTAAAAACGATTCTATGCAGGTGGTGGGGTAGTGGATCATTTTTATTTCCCTTTTTAATGCATATTTTTGTTTCAAAATGTGGTCTTCTCTATGTTAGGGATTAAGTAGAGATTTTATTTTTATTTTTTTGCACAAGGGCATGCCTTCTGCTTAACGAAATGAAAGTGTGCTATGGGAGCTCGTTTATCCCAAAAGTTCCAGTTTTGATGATGAGATGTCAGAGGCCCCAGGTGACTGATAAGGACAAGGCCAGGCCAGGGGTAAACAGGACCCGCCCCCTTAACCCCACCCTGCAGCAGTTAGTGAGCACTTACTGTCCTTGGCCCTGTCCCCACAGGTGGCTATCTTTCAAGGGCCAGACAGTGACTGTTAACCCCACATGCACCACCTCGGCTCATCCAGACACTTACATGCTCCGATCCCTGCAAACATCTCAGCAAACCGGGGGTCCCTCTCCTGGGAAAAGATTGCATCTGCCTTTTCCACAGACTTCCCAGCCTCGTGCACACCAGCGGGCAGGTTGGGGACAGGAACCTGTTTGCACATTAAGATGCAACAGCACCCCACGTGTGAGGCTCTGACCATATGCCTGCAGCAGCCCCCCCCACTCCTTTCTCCCTCCCTCTGGAACCGCTGGCCTGGCAGGCTGACCAGAGTGTGGGGTGGGGAGCTTTTCTACACACGAAAACCAGGAACGAACAGGGTGGGGTGTGAGCCAGAGATCACAGAAACGGAGTCACACAGATGACTCACAGAAATAAAATAATCAACATACTCTAAATATTGGGAAACGTGAACTTAGAGTTTAATTTTTCTCATTGATTTGAGAGGAAGGGAAAGGAGGAGAGAGAGAAACATTGATTTGTTGTTCCACTCATTTATGCATAACTGGTTGATTCTTGTATGTGCCCTGACCAGGGATCAAACCTGCAACCCTGTCATATCGGGACGATGCTCTAACCACTGTGGCTCAGCTGTGCATGAAGGAGTGACAGGTCCCTGGGGGACCCAAATCTCTGCACGGTGTGGGTGAATGGAGTGATTGTACCTGCTGGGCTGAGGGGCTCAAGCTAATAGCCTGATTTAGTCCCCAGTCCCCTGGGTTGGAGACAGTTCCAGAAACTCACCTGTGATAAGTCGTATGAAGACAGCCCGTCTCTCTGGTGCACTTCCAACTCAGCCTGCTGCTGCTGGAGCTGCCTGTGGGACACGAAGTCAACAGTCACCATGACAGGGCCGAACCAGGCCTGCTGTCCCCAAACACGGTGGGCAACCCCTGTGGGTCTCTGCGTTGTTTTCAATTTTTATTTATTTAATTTAATTTTTCATTGAAATGCTCCGAATCAAGACTACACACCCTGAATTGTAAGTTTAGGCTGCTGCTACATAGGAAATAAGTTCTGAGTTACGACTTTGTTTTATGCAGGGCAGAAAGACACTTTAAAAAAGGGGAAAAGAGCTCAGGCAAAATGCAGAAAGGCAGTTGGGTTTAATGCTGAGCGAACATTTGCCTGTAAATTGCTAGTTTACATGAGCTCATCTGACCTCCCCATGGAGCTCCGCCGTGGTGACTTCCACCCACATTAAAACTAAGAGGTGCTTCTGCTGTGAGGCAGGTGTGGTAAAGGCTGGAGCCGTCGGGGCGGGAGTCTGCTCTCATCCAGCAGACGAAGCGCCTTCCGTCGGGGAGCAGAAAACAGGTCATGGGCTCCGCTGCAAACCCTGTGTCTGACACCAGCATCTCCATCCCACAGCCCTCGGTTCCGTGGCCGTGATGAGCGCATGTGAGCAAGTGCTGACCTGCGGCCACCCTGTTCTGGGAAGAGGCCAGAAGAGGTTTCTCGGGCATTTCATGGCAACCGAATAAAAATAAACCTTGGTGGGCTTGCAAATTCCACTGAGGGAGAAACACGCAGCTCGGGAGAAAGCTGACCGACAAGGGAACCTGGTTCCCACCGCAGTCAAGTGCTGCCCCCCATGAGCTGGGACAAGGGAGCTGAGAGTGACAAACCCGACGTGTCCAGCCCGGCACAGAGCACAGCCCTCAGGTGGGGCCAGTGTAAAAATGCTGTTCCTGTCAGGAACAGCCCACCGTTTTATCCCTTTAAGGGTACAGACCCCCCAATATGGGCACACTTCAAAGCCAGCATGGGACACGGGAGTCTGTTGTTTTCCTGGGCTTCGTCCCACCTCCCTGCTCTGGTCACTCGGGAATGAAGAATCCTTCCACTCAGCAGCTTCCCACAAATGCCAACCACTAAACACTTCACTTCTTCGGACGTTTCCTTCAGTTGACTGAATGCGGGGTGGGGGTGGGGGTGGGGGCTTGAATTACCTCCCCCACTTTCCATAAGGAGGCTGCCTACGGCTGGGGAAGGTCAGTCACGGCTGAGAAAGGGCCGGAGCGCAGCACTCGCGCTGTGACTGCCCTCTGCTGTCCGCAGCGAACACCTCCCATCTTCCCAGCCAGGAGCCCTTTGGGAACAGGGCGCAGGCTGTCCAGGACACCCTGAGCACTTCTCTCCTGTGGGGCATCAGGCACAGGTTCAGGAGCACGGACGGGAGGGAGGAAGCGAGGCGGGTGGGGTGCACAGGAGAAAACGGGCAGGATCATGAGAGGAGGCAGCTCTCACTAACACCCAAATTGCTGGCATCAAAGAGGGAAAGTTCTAGAACAGTGCCCATGGCTATGAATGTGAGACGATGTGCTTGCCCATTTCCACGGCTCTGGCACAGGCAACTGCCGTGGCCAACCAGGGGCTGTGACAGGTGGCACGAGCCTGGGGACGCGCTGTGGCCTGAACAGGTGCTCAGCAATGGACCAGCCCTTCCCCCTTCTCTCTGCGGCCTCCCTCCTGGGGCCCCCTCCCCACACCTGGCTCCACAGGTCAGTGAGCACCCGAAGCCCCGGAGGGAGCGGCCCTGCCCCTGCAAGGGGTCATGGCAAAGGAGGAGAGGAGGGGACTGAGATGGACACTCTCATGAACAGGAGGAGGTCCACACCGGCTTCTCAGTTCACTGGACCCACCCAGAGTTAGAAGAAAGCTGGGCAGTGCACTTCGGGAGCTCAAGAGAGACCTGGGGCAGCCTGTAAGGGACTACTCAACCAAGACACTACCCAGCAGCTGTGGCGGGTGGCAAGTGCCACTGTGCCAGCACTGACCCGACAGACCCTCCTTCCCACGCACCATCCACCCGCAGTATATGAAGGCAAGGCTCTGTCCCTCCATGGTCACAGGGGAGGTGGTGAGGCTGAGAAAGGGAAGGGGTCTTGCCCAGCAGGAAGCTGGGACTGACACCCAGGTCACCTGTAGTCTGAGAGACCCCATGTGGACCTGTCTGTCCAGTCTATGCTCTGAGGCCAGGACCAGGGCCAAGGTCAAAACTCAGAGGGTGGGAAGGAGGTTGCTTTGTGGGGCCCAGAGGGAAGCTTGCCACCCAAGGGGCTGGGCTATGGCAGCCAGGAGGCAGAGCGACCACCTGCAGACTCCAGGCTCCAGTTACAGGGACACTGCCTGCAGATACGAGGGGCATGTGGCGGGTGAGAAAAGACCAGTCTCTGGGAACACGGAAGATGGCGGTGCCAATGACCAGGACGGGGGGTCAGGACAGTTCTCAGGCCCCCACAGGCTGCAGCCCCCAACACCCTGGGCTCAGGTCCAAATGCTCCGCGCACTTGAGCATCACTTTGACTTTGTTTGTGCTGCTCCTTGGGCCTGTATTTCCTCAAGAATAACTGCAGACAGGAGGCATGACCCGCCCGTGGCTACGAGTGGACCTATTTCATCTTCCCAGCAGCCCTACACGGGAGGCCTCACCCCATTCCACAGCCAGGACATAGGAGCCAAGGCTGAGCCTGGTCTGTGCGCATGGCTGGCCACGGGAAGCAGCAGGGACCCGGGGAGGAATGTGTCAGCCACTGGGCAGTGGAGAGACCACGTGTCCTCGAGGTGCCCACCCCCAGGCCCTAGACTCTCACTCCTCTGCCCGGGCTTAGTGGGACCAAGAACCCAGGCACAAAACTCAGGACATGGGAGGAGGAACGGGAACCAGGGCACCTGGGGCCAACTGTGCTGAGGGGTCTTCACCTGGCCCAGGGTCTATGGACCAGGTGATGAGGAGGGGGACGGGAGGGAGCAGTGAGGGGACCACAGTCCCTGCTCAGTGCCTGCCGGGGGAGCGGCTGCGGGGAAGAAGGCACGTACTTGACGTTGGTGTTGGTGCAGATGAGGTACTCGATCTCGTCCGAGTAGGGGTTCTGGAAGGTGAAGCTGCTGGTGCGGATCAGCAGCCACTCCCGGTTCTTGGTGCGGAACCGATACATGACCGACAGCACCTGGCCTTTCAGCTTCACCACCTGCAAAAATATCCAGAGACAGAAGTCAGCAGGAGGAAGGATGGTGCCAGACAGAAGGCCCGAGGCCACCCCAGGTGGGTGGTCGCTGCGAAGGTCAGCAGGAACTCAGGACCAGGCATCGCTGAGACACTGCACATGGGTCCTTCTGCCACCACTGGGAAGCCAAGACAATGTCTGTTTTATATCAGGGCTTTTTAGCTTTTACCAATCAGATCAGGAAAACTGTAAGTTGGACACAGCCTGTCCTTGGGATATAGAGGGGGTCCTTGAGGGAGGTGGGGTCTGGACATGCAGTAGAGCAGGCGGGTAAGATGCCGTCACATGAGATGTGGTAAAAAGCTTTATTTGCGCAGAGTTACATTCCTCAGGTTGCAAAGTTTCCTGCCCCTTAAATCAGTCTTGAAAAAGTGCAGCTGGGGTTCCAGTAGAGCCAAAAGGAAGGCCAGTGTTCAGAGCTTCTGTTCCATACTGCAGCTGGGTCCAGTTCAGTGGTCAGGCTAATTAAAGTCCATCAGCCCATTGGGTGGGTCCCACATGGCTATGGGCCATGTGGCCAAATGCAGGGGATGCACTCATGAGAGCCCCAAGAGAGCCAGAGGGCCAAAGGCCAAGAGCCGAGAGAGTAAAAACCAGAAGAGGAAACTTCCTTTCTTTAAAAGTTTAAATATTTAGGCTTTGCACCCTTGCAGTGACCACGCCTATTCTGGCCACTGACTTGCTCCCAGGTGTGACTGACTGACAGACAGGTAGGCACCTTCCCATGTCACTCAGACCTTACTGGGCATTCGTCCACATTGCCTTTGTCCAGTTCCTTCCCCCATTGATCAGCGGGGAATAGACCTAAGAGTGTTAAATTAGCAAATCTGTAAAAATGGCACGCCTATATTATTTAGTCTTCCTTTTACTCCTTCCCTGTCAATAAGGAGCAGGTTATTACAACGGTATCACAGGTATCACATCCAGGCCTCAAGAGCAGGCTGGAGCTAGTTCAGGGGCGACATAAGACCTGAGACAGCAAAGGCGAGGCTGAAGCCTGGCCTCGCACACTCTCCACGGTGATGGAAGGCATCTGAGCACGAAGGGATGGGAGGGACCCTCTTCCGTCTGACTTCTAGGTAAACCGTGACGGGGATCTGGAAGTTGGACTCAGGTTTCCGGGTCCCAGGCGGGCGTGTGGTCACCACCAAACTCACATTCCGCACGCACTTGATCTGGGCCATTCAGTGCTTTTGTTTACATCCAGAGTTCAAGGGCCGACCCAGTTCCCTCCGCGATTTTGTAAAAATAAGCCACTTCCCTTTATCAACATTGTTGCCCACCCTGCTGCCGGTGGCTGGAGCCCAGAGAACACAGGCTCGGGGCCCAGGCCAGCGCACTCCGGGATGTCCCACGGCTGCTGGGCCGCGGCCCGCTGATCCTGCGACACCAGCCAGGTCTCGGCTCTGGGGAGTTTCTGCTTGGCCTTCGCCTCCCACCTGAGGGATGGGGTGGCCGCTCACAGTGCAGGAGTTACTGAAGCTGGATGCCAGGAGAGATCAGATGTCAAATTCCTTCCTTTCCTTTTCAAAACCAACCAGGTTCTGACGGCATCGGTTCTTTTCTTTCCTGGGGCCAAGGGGGACGCCGGGGCCCTCTGAGGAATCTGCTGTCTCTCTCATCACAGTTGACCTGGGCTCAGGAGGTACCAGGTGCTCCGAAGATCCAGGGCAGTTTATGCAGAAGGGCTTTCCATCGTGCTGACACATAGTAGGTGCTCAGTAAACAGCAGCTAATAATAACGATGATCACAATGCAGTCACGGGGGAAGGGTTTCCGCTGAGACTTTCACCGTCACCCTCAATTCTCTCCCCAAAGCATCGCTAGCACAACAACGGCCTCCTCACGCTCCTTCTCCTGCGATGACCCCGCTTCTGCCAACCTCCGGCCTCAGCACCCCTCACTGCGCAATCAGAACAACCGCCAATAGGTCTTGTTCCTGTGACCTCCCACATTTATCTCTTCTGCACACCTGGGCGGCCAAAATTGTTTCTCGAAAACACTGCTCCACTTAAACTCAAGGAATCCTCACTGAAGTGACTCAGGAGAGAATTTAAACTCTTTGGCATCTGAGGTCCATGAGAGCCCGGCCACACCAGTTCCACTTGACCACCACCGATACCCTCCCCACGAGCTGGCCATCAGCAAACACTTATCACTCTCCCAACACACCCCGTTCTTTTGTGTGTGTGGTGCTGCCCTTCAGTCCAGATGTCCTATGATTTCTTCCACACTCATTCATCAGGAA